AACTGGGGTGTGAGAGTTGGTGCAGGGAGCAAGGCTCAGGTATGGGAGAAGCTGGGGACACACAGCTGTCGCCACTTGAATAATCCAATAAGTCTGAGGAAACAGAGATTTACTGTGAGGGCTGTTGGGGAGTCACATGTTCAGAGGCCGCCCTGGCCTTTCCTAAGGATTTGCTAAACCCAGGGTCTGAGATTGGGTCTAGCTAGCTAGCTTTACTTTATCAGGCCCCGCCCCTGACTCCATTCCTTCCTTTCTGGTCCTCACTTTTGTTCCGGTTTCGATATTCCAGCCATGGGTAGTTGAACATTGATTTGGGGATTTGAGCGAAATTGGACTGGTTTTCGTGGCCCATCCTCTTTGGTGTAGGGCATGACAGCCAAAAAATTCAAGGACGTGAAGCAAAGTGGGGCGCTGCTTGACGAGGCCCTTCCTTCCGCTGGCAAAGAGAAACCAGGGAGACACTGGACTTCTGGAGAGGGAAGCTCCGGAGAGCTGAGCAACCAGGTTGCCTATGGAAACAGAACCCGGCTCCCTTGTTGAGCCCCACTGCTGGCCCCTGTTGGCCTGCTGACTGAACTGCTGGCCGAACTCCATTTCCCTCAGCAGGAAAGCGGCAAAGTCACATACGTCTGCTCGACTCCAGTGGTTTTGATGGGGCCCGGCGTGTGTTTGTGAACCACCAAGCCATGTGAGGGGCAGGAGTTGTTCACAGGACTGACTTCAGGAAAATGACAGGGATAGAAAAACCTCATTTATTCGCACATCCCTCCTTGCTGGTAGAAGGCTATGTGGTAAGGAGCTGCCGTTCATATCTCTTCTGTTTGCTAGTGTTGTTCTATCTACCTTGCGGCCTTTCCCCTCCCTTGCTACCTGACTCAGACCTTTGGAATCCATGTCAGTGCTATGCCATTTCTGAAGGCTTTCCTCCCCAAGCTTCCTTCCCCACCTGACTCCACCCTGGTATCTAACAGTGCTAGTGTGCAGTAGTTCAACACACAGCAGGAAGCCTACCGTGTGTCTTCTTTTCTGTTGCTGTGGTTAAAATGCCCTGACAGAGGCAACTTACGGATGAAAGGGTTTATTTTATTTCATGGTTCAGGTGGCAATCCATTATGGCAGCAGGCTGTCAGTCACAGTGAGAACACTGTGCTTATCATATTCTCTTCGTTCAGCTCAGGGTCTAGCCCTGTGGTGCTGTCCCCATTAAAGGTAGATCTTCCTACTACTAATAAGCTGATTAAGAGGCTGGAGAGGTAGCTCATCAGGTAAGATCATTAGTGAAGACCTGGGTTTGGTTCCCAGCACCTACATGGCCACTTACGATGGTTTATAAGAACACACAAGGTGGGGCTGGAGAGATGGCTCAGTGGTTAAGAGCATTGCCTGCTCTTCCAAAGGTCCTGAGTTCAGTTCCCGGCAACCACATGGTGGCTCACAACCATCTGTAATGGGGTCTGGTGCCCTCTTCTGGCCTGCAGGGATACGCACAGACAGAATATTGTATACATAATAAATAAATAAATATTAAAAAAAAAGAACACACAAGGTGTACAGACATGCAGGTAAACACTCATACCCATAAAATAAATATAATTTTTAAATTTATGCTTAAAAAGAAAAAGGGAAATCCCTTCCCGGTATGCCAGTGGCTTGATTCCACACTCATTCAGGGTTTCTCTGTGTAACAGCTCCGGCTGTCCTAGAACTTGCTTTGTAGACCAGGTTGGCCTTGAACTCACAGAGATCCACCTGCCTCTGCCTCCTAAGGGCTGGGATTAAAGGTGTGTGGCACTACGGCTAGACTGGACTGATTTCTTGACAACCAAAATTAACCATGACACTATGCATCAAAAAAAATATGGATCATTAGGGCTAGAGAGGTGGGTAGCCCAGTGGTTAGCACTTGTTGCCCTTGCAGAGGACCTGAATTGAATTTCCAGCACACTCGTGGTGACTGACAACCATCTATCACCTCAGTTACAGGGAATTCAGCAAGCACACATGTGGTGAACATGCATGCATGCTTGCAAAACATTCATACATATAGAGTGGAATAAACAAATCTAAAAAATTAAAAAATAAGGATAATTGAGTCATCACACTTAATAGAAGTCAAGTGACATGATAAGCTTGTATGTGCTGCATAGATGAAGACAACGTCGCTTAAGTGGAATTCCTACCAAAATTGCTTCAATATACAAAATACAAAATTATAAGCTAAACATCTTGGCAATTTCAATGCTCTTAAGGACATCCCCGCCCCCCCCCCCCCCCCCCGCCAATGATGTTCAGTCAGGCGATGAAGCACACCCTTGTTACCCCAGCCTGAAAGCTCGAGGCCAGTCTGGGCTGTGTACTGAGATACTACTCAATAAACAAATGGCTGGGCATGATGGGTCAGCCATGTAAGCTCTGCACCAAAGACGGAGGGGATTACCCTAAATTCCAGGCCATCCTAGTCTACACCGGGAGTTCCAGGCAACTTAGGGCTACATAGGAACCTCCTCCACACACACACACACACACACACACACACACACACACACACACACAGGTGAATTCCTGTGAGTCCCTGGCTACCCTGACTTACATAGCCAGTTCCAGCCAGCCAGGGCTACACAGTGAGATTCTGTGTTTTGTTTTGTTTTAAAAATAATACTAAAAAGATATTTTACTAAATATAGCTTATATACTGAATTAGATCCCTCACTACAACCCCTCGTGAGACAAGGTTTCTTTATGAACCCTTGACTGTTCTGGATCTCTCTCTGTAGACCATGCTGGCCTCAAACTCATAGATCCACCTGTCTCTGCCTTCCTAGTGCTGGGATCAAAGGTGTGCACCACTACTTCCTGGCCTGAATCAGAGTCTTACTTTAAAAAAGAAATTGCTGAAGAGGGCATTATTGAGACAGTGGGAAGGTGTGATGATCTATATTTAATGACTATGTTTTAGAAAATAGTGTCAATGTTAGTTTCCTGTGTTTTCACTCTGTGGTTATATGAAATGTTCTTGTCACTAGTAGATGATACTGAAACCCTTCGCAGTGTAGTGATTTTGCATATGCAGCTTTGAATGGCTCAGAAAAAAAAATGTGTATACCAGAGAAGAGGGGAGAATTTTTAAAATTTATTTGTAAATTTTTTTAAAATATTTATTTATTATGTATACAATAGTCTGTCTGCATGTATGCCTGAAGGCCAGAAGAGGGCGCCAGACCTCTTTACAGATGGTTGTGAGCCACCATGTGGTTGCTGGGAATTGAACTCAGGACCTTTGGAAGAGCAGGCAATGCTCTTAACCACTGAGCCATCTCTCCAGCTCCTTATTTGTAAATTTTTGTGTTTAAAATTTTGTAAATTGAGCATGGGCAAACGTAGAGGTCTTTGTATCAGATCTAGTGGGTTTAGAAACTTTTTAACTTTGTTTTCCTTTTGTTTGTGGAGCTTTGGGCAGATTCCATGTTCCTATGAGTTTTACTGAGGGTTGAGGTGATGACATGGCTCCGGGGTTAAAGATGCTGCGCAAGCCTGTTTACCTGAGTTGACCCCGGCCCTCACGAGAAGACAAAAGGAGAAGGTGAAACCCACTCACATGTCCATTCCCCAATCCTGTGTGTGTGTGTGTGTGTGTGTGTGTGTGTGTGTGTCTGTCTGTCTGTCTGTCTGTCTATCTCTCACACAATTTAAAAATGAAAACATGGGTGGTGGTGGCACACGACTTTAATTCTAGCACCTGGGAGGCAGAGACATGAGAATCTCTGTAAGTTCGAGGCCAGCCTGGTCTACAGAGCTAGTTCCAGGACAGGCTCCAAAGCTACAGAGAAACCCTGTCTTGAAAAACCAAACCAAACCAACCAAACAAACAAACAAAGGACTGGAGAGATGGCTCAGTGATTAAGAGCACTGGTCCATCTTCTGGAGGACCTAGGTTCAATCCCCAGAACCCACATGGCAGCTCACAACTGTCCTTAACTCCAGCTCTAGGGAATCTGCTGCTCTGTCCTGGCCTCCTTGGGCACCTCATATAGATCACACATACACACAAATAAAAATAAGATAAATCTTTATTACTCTTAAAAAAAAAAACCTTACAGGCTGGAGAGATGGCTCAGAGGTTAAGAGCATTGACTGTTCCTCCAGAGGTCCTGAGTTTAATCCCCAGCAACCACATGGTGGCTCACAACCATCTATAATGAGATCTGTCTGGTGCCCTCTTCTGGCACAAGGTCGTACATGCAGATAGAGCACTCATACATACAATAAATAATTCAATAAATCTTAAAAAGATGAACACAGTTTTGTACTGTAAACAGATCTAATATTAGTGCCCTGTCTGTCTGTCTGTCTCACACACATAATTTAAAAATGCAAACAGTTTTGATCTGTAAACAGATCTACTATTAGTGCCTACCCCTAAGGTTATAAAACGAAAGAGGGTGATGGATGTGAGGGTCCGAGCCAATGCTTGGCACATAGTGCTCAACTAATGTTATCTAAACTGTGACTGCATCTGTTCCTATATGTGTTCACCTGAAGGGACACATGGGTGGGAAAGGTGAACTACCCCCCTCTCCCCCGTGCTGGTACAGTTGGCACAGTTATCAAAAACCTTATCTAAAATAATGTAGGCCTCAAGTCATCTTCTAGGGACAATAATAGTGTTAGAGTAGCCCACTGGAGATATGGCATGGGTCAGTCAAAGCCTGAGGAAGCAGAGAGGCGTTGTGGCCGGGATCCACATAAACCCTTGGAGACTTATAGGTAGTACATCATGATACTTAGATTCCAAGCCTAGTAGGTAAGTCACTGGCTACTTTACCAGCTTTGCCTATCTATGCTTAATTTCCAGAGGGTGTTGGCTCCCAGCCTTGCTAACTGCCAAGGTCATACGTTTGATGTTGTTATCAGGTGTGTGCCTCCATCTCTGCATGCTTAATACTTGTAGCGAAGAGGCTTCCTTAGGAAGAAAGAAAACCAGAAACCAGCGTGGTCCTTGTATCAGAAATTTTAATGAAATGCTGATTTCTTGGGTTTGCTGCACAGAGCCTGTGAGGGCCTGAGACATGAACATTTGTGTATGGGGTCTCCATTTTCCTTCTTTGCTTGAGAGATCCACAGGCTTCTTTCCTGGTCCCCAAACCAAGCTGAGAAGCCTGAAGCTCAGAGTCTGGAGACTTCCTGTTGTCATGGGCAGGGCCTCAGTAGACCTCCCAGGCTCTAGGGGAGGATACTGCTATAATCTTTAGATATGATAGCATCTATGGCATCCCTAGAATGAGTGGGAGTAGGGGGCTGATGAGTGCCACCCCCAAGCTGGTCAGGACTACAGCAAGCAAGGACAGGTAAGGGGTACAGGATCAGGCTCTAGAAACCCTCTATTCTACTTCATCTCCAAATAGTTGATGTATTCTTGAACCCACTTCTTCTTTGGATTGGCACACACTTGACGGTTCTTACGGGTGACAAAGCTGTAGGAGAGAGGAAGAGGTTAACAACGGGGCAGCTTTTTGTATATGGAGACTGAAAAGCATATAGGGAAATGGTTGTGGGAGGTGGGTAGGGCTTTGTTGTAGCTCAAGGCGGTTTTCTTCCTTTTAGAAGACATTTTTTTTCTGTTGGAACAAAAGGCTTCCAGCTACAGGCAGAGTTTCAATCACAATTATTCCCTACATACACACACAAATCTAGAACTCAGCATGGAGTAGACCAAGCATTGGCCTTTTCTTGGCTCTTTCCCTTGCTCTAGGCCTTATGCTGAGTGCTGAGTTTAAAGAAGTTGGGTATTGATTGTACTTAAATCAGAACCCAAGTTGAGGAAATGAAGAGGGAGCCCTAGGACTTGCTAGTGCTTGTCACTCTCAGCCTGTAGCTGGGGAGTCAAAGGACCAGGATAACAACTCCCGCAGTCAGAATTTCTTGGGCTTCCATTTCCTCCTCCTCCTTTATGTGGTATGTGATACCAAAGAACAAGTCATCTTGGGTAATTCTTCCTTTCCTTCCCGCCTCCATTTTTGGGGCCCTTTGCTCATCTGACTTTCCTTTCTACCTTCCTCATAAGAGCAGGTGTCCTCAAGGACACTGCCCCCTTGAGTTCTCTTCCCTCCAGCTCCGGCCCCAGGCCTGGCATATAGTTGATGCTTGATGTACATTTATTAAATGAGTGAGTGGATGGATGATTGCATTCATTTCTAACACACACCCACCAGACCATTTAGATAACGACAATAGCAGGTTGATCATTCTCTATACCCATTATGTGCCAGGGGATGGTCTAGGGACTATTATTCTCTCTGTGACCTAGTCCCCTCCCCCTCCCCCAAAGTGCCATAATTATCCTCTTTGGAACTACTGCAGAGAGGCTGAGGGGCCCCAGTTTACCAAATGACATAACTAGGATTCTAACCCGGCAGACCAGCTCTGCTGTGTTAGACCAAGACAATGTGGCCTAGCCTCTTTTTGTTGGCAGCTCCCGGATTCTCCTCGGCCCTTTGCTTACACTCCATCGAACATTTCCATGGATTGTCTTGCTGTAACTTTGCCTGGGTTCTTCCTGTTTACACAGTTTGCCCTCTAGACCTGTGTTGTGGAACACGCTTTAACTAGGTAAATGTTAACTTTAACTGTTACGTTTGTTTATACTGCAGAATATTGTAGAATGTTAACTATGTGAAGGCGTGTTGCGTTTGTTTATGCTGCATTTATTCAATTATGTAAAGATGTGTTGCTTTTGTTTCACCTTGCCTGCCTGCCTAAGTCACCTGATTGCTCTAATAAAGAACTGAATGACCAATAGCTAGGCAGAGAAATGATAGGTGCGTTGGCGAGCAGAGAGAAAATGAGGGGGCGATATCTAGGCTTGAGGGAGAAGAGATAGAAGAGAACAAAGGAGAAAGTGAGGGATACGCCCGGGGCCAGAAGCCAGGCTGCGGCAGCCAGTCAGATAGGAGAAGCAGTGAAAGTAAGTTACCCGGAAGGAAAGAAAGGTAAAAAGCCCAAGGCAAAGCGTAGATGAAGAGAAACCAGTCGTAAGATAAGGCCGAGCATTCCTAAGTCTCTGTCTTGATTTGGGAGCTGGTTGGTGGTCTAAAAGAAAAGCGTGTGACAGACCTGCAGACCCGCACACCTCTCCATCCCTGCATCGAAACCTCAGCACCACCCTTATCTCTCGGTCCTGACCATAAATCTGTTACCCTGGCTGACAGCCTTCAAAGCTCCTGACTCTTGTTTCTTCTTGCCTCCAGGTACCACTCAGCCTACAACACTGCAATGTGGGTGATTTCAACAGCCTCTTCTCTAGACCCCCTTCTTCTAGGCGTTCCCTGTTCCAGGTCATTTTAACTCTGGCCAGTTTTCTGACACTCAAGAGTGCTCTGCTCTCTTCCCGTGTCCCTACAAACCAAAGGAGAAGCCCGTGAACATGTTCTTAGACACACCCCACCCCCACACTTCTCCTAATCTCTCCATGAATAGCATTTTACAGTACTCACCTCTGAACTGCCCCTCTCACCCCTGAAGCCGAACACACCCCCTTCTCTCTCTTAGTAATGTTTTATAGGGTGCTTTAATCATTCTGTGTCTCACTTATAGCTCTTACTAAATAAAATCTCCAAAGCCAAGGATCACAGTTTTATTCATCTCTGCCTGCTCATAATAGATGCTCAAGGGATGGTTTTTAAAAATGCTAATTTTTTAGAGCTAAATTTAGTAATACTAATTATTAATATTACACTTTTAGAATCAGGGTCACAAAACATTTTGGATTGCTCAGTAGTTAAGAGCACTGGCTGCTCTTCCAGAGGTCCTGAGTTCAATTCCCAGCAACCACATGGTGGCTCACAACCATCTGTAGCAAGATCTGGTGCCTTCTTTTGGTTTGCAGTCATACATGCAGGCAGAACACTGTATACAAAATAAATAAATATATCTTAAAATATTTCTTGGATTAACACTTTTCAATCTTTTATTGTCCCATTTTCTTCTTTTATTTTTGGATTTATTTTATGTGTATATTTCATCTGCATGTCTGTATGTGTACCATATGTGTGCCTGGTGGCTGAGGAGGTTAGGAGAGAGGGCATTGGATCCCCTGGAACTGGAGTTGCAGATGATTGTGAACCATCATGTGAATGCTGGGAGTTGAACCTGGATCTTCTGCAGGAGCAGCAAGTGCTTTTAACCATTGAGCCGTTTCTATAGCTCTCCATCTTCATTCTGTGAATCATTAGCATCTTAACTGTCTCTTCCGCTTTTGTCACTAACGACTTTGCTTTGCAACAGGAAGAGGGAGCCCTAGAGACAGGCTCCATCCCTCACTTGCTGTGCAGCACTGAGACAAACGCCTCAGAATCTGAGCTTCATTACACGGAGAGACTTGCACACACCTGTCAGGGCTACACACAGTTTAGATGCGTGTACATAGATGTGACAGAGATAGGACACATGTGCTTGACCCTGCCTCTTTCCTCAGAGGATTAGCTGAGCTGGATTGGGTGTGAAATATGGAAACTTTGGGCTCTTAACTGGAGAGGGATGGTGGAGTGGATCTTCTCCAGGATGTTTCAGTTTGTGCTCACACCAAAGTTTGCGTCCTAGGAACTGTGTCTGTCAGGGTAGGCAGGATCCTCTAAGGCACTGGTTCTCAACCTCCCTAATGCTGCAACCCTTTAATACAGTTCCTCATGCTGTAGTGACCCCAACCGTAAGATTATTTCCGTTGCTACTTCAGAACTGCAATGCTGCTACTGTTATGAGTCATAATGTAAATATTTTTGACATAGAGGTTTGGCAGAGGGGTCGCATTGGGCAGACTGAGAAGCAGTGCCGGAAGGATACTGTGTCCAGTTCTTTTTATGTTACAGCTGGGGACTGAGCTGGAGGTGAGGAGCCTAAAGAGTGGGTGGGGATGATAAGGGGCACTCTCCGAGAAGGGTCGTGACAGGGGTGGGGTGGGGTGGTCGGGGCTTCTGTACCCCAAAGGGGAACCCATAGGGCTGAGACTCACACGACTGCGGAGTTGGAGCACTTGCTGCTGGTGTAGAAATACTCTCTGACATGGGCACGAGGCAGCGTGAGGGAGAGGTAGGAGAAGCAGCAGGGAGTGGTGTCCGCGCCATCTGGGGGAAGGAAGAGTGGAAGGGGAAGGAGAGCCTTTTCTTAAAGGTCAGTTGCACTGGACACTTGGCTAGGCCCTCGGCATGATTTATCTCGAAAGCAGCATCTGTTGTCATCTATCCTGGCAGAAATGGAGGCTCAGAGGACACAGTTGTCACACTGGAGATTTCAACAGCAGCCCGAAAGGATCTGTTCAAACTCTACGTGGTCCCTGAGCCAAGCTTGTGCATTATCCTCTGTCCCATCACCTGCGGGGCACCTTCTCTGCTCTGGACCCTCTGCCTTGTTCTTCAGCTCCCCTCGTGGATTCCAAGCTTGGTTTCTTTGGGGTGTAGAACACAATCTAGGGAAGCATCTGAAGACTATAGCTTGTGATCCCATATGGGGCCTGAAAGCGCCTATCACACCCCAGGGTCTGGCTGGGCTGTAGGGAAGGGCCCTGAGCAGAGAAGCTCTCGGTGGTCAGTCAGTTCAAGATGTCACACAGCGGCACAGTTGTCACCTCGCAGCAGAGCTGTGGGGCTTATCTTCCCAGCCAGATAGGGCTGCTTGGGATACCGGTTTCCACACTCCAGCAGTGTGCACCCTTAGACAAGAATCTGTCTCCCTGGGCCTCTGTTTCCCACCGTAAGTCAAGAACAGCCACTGCAAACCTAGTTGTAATAAACAGGTTGGCACAAGTAAAGGAATCTGCATGATGCCTGACCTGTATAGGCACTTAGTTCCTCTCTCTCTCTCTCTCTCTCTCTCTCTCTCTCTCTCTCTCTCTCAGCCCCATTTCTTTTCTATCTATGAAACAAGAGACTATCACACCTCACACACCTCGGGCACTTTAAAAAGTATTAGACATTTCTTAGAAACCATTCTGGTGACAGATATAAGTGAGTCATTTTCCAAGGTCAGCCTGAGCTACCCTGCCTCACCAGTCCACACTTTAGGGGTGCCTGCAGAGTTCATAGTGTAGACTGTGGAGACATAGACAAGTTCTTTGTGGGGGAAGTGTCCTGCCATAATGTGGCTTAGAGACCTAACAGGGATGACAAGATCACTGCCAGTAATATATAAGAATGACGAGGGGCTGAGGCAGCATACATGCTATGACTGGGGTGGCAGGATGGGGTGGGCATCTAGACAGAGTGTGAACGGCGGTGGTCAGAGCCCTGGACTTACACGGAGAGGCGGATGCAGGAGCACAGAGGGTGGCAGCAGTGAGGATGATGGCGAGGGCAACTGCGGAGATCTTCATGGTACCCAGGGCAGAGGCTGTGGGAGATGCCTTCGTTGTCTCAGGATCCTCTGCAGGGATGCTCTGCAGCTCAGGCAGACCTTTTATAGATGCCAGGGTAGCAGAGGAAGTGCCCCCTCCCTCGGGTTGGGGGAGTTTTCACAGTAGACACCAGACACTAGCTGCTGTCACAAGTGAAATACACAGAATGGAAACGAAAACTGAAATCTCCTCCAGAAGTGTATGAGTCTGCCTCTACTGCCCTCCGGTCCAGGGATGACTATCGGTTTCCTCTCCGGCCAAGCACAGTGGGGGGGCGAAAATCCCCCACATCACCCTTCCTCTGCAGCATCCTCAGATCATCCTTCCAAGCAGGTCCTCCCCAGACAGCAGGGAGCTGCTGCCTTAAGGCAAATGGGGGTCAGTTAAGGTCAAGACCTATTGATCTTCACTTGGCAACTTCCCAAGTTCTTCCTATTTTCTCCATGGAAGGGTGTTTGTCATGCGTACACTATATCAGAAACAGAACACACTTGCGCCGTTCTACAGCATCAGACTTTATTGATAATAAATTAACAAGGGATAGTGGGTTTGCTGACAGCAATTTGTCAAGTAATCCTGATTCCCTTGATAACCAGGTAGATATAGAGGTATTTACTGAATGATCTGAGGGTTAATATTAGTAGTTAAAACAGAAATAAAAGAGCCTGTGTCTTGTCTGTCCATCTATTTATCTATGATATCTATCTATTTATCATCTATATATCTACCTAGGCGCTAAGGGAACTGATAGGGCTTCAGGAGAGTCTCTATGGGATTAAAGATTAAAACTGTTGAGATCTGCTGGAGGTACCTACTGCAGAATCAAACTTCAGGGTCGCATGTCAGAGCCAAACCTCAGAGACCAGTCCCAGCTAGAGGAGCAAAGTGTAAGAGCATGGATGCTGTAGCAGCGAAAGGGAGGACTGGGTCCAGATGGACAGTGGACCAGCAAATGGATCGTGGGTCCAGGAGGATGAACTAGCAGATGGTAATCCAGTAGGCCATGCCATGGTGGGAATGGATCTGAGCTCAGGTTCTGGGCAATCTGGAATTCTCTGTCTGTCAGCCCTTTGACACATGTACCATGTGGTCAGATGACAGGTGGGTGGAGGCTGTTACCATCATGTTAAGCGTTACGCAGCCACCTGTCCTGTGTCTCACTTTGGTCCTTTGTCTATAAGTATAACTAATATTAAAGAATAGGGACTCCTTGAACCACAGGGTTAGATCTGCAGACTTATTCATCCTGGAATACTGCAGCTCTGTGTACGTGGGCCACCGTCCTTCCATGCCCCTACCTCCCTGCCGAGTATAACCGCAGATCTGTTCCTTGTTTTTTAAGACTGTGTATATTCATGAAGCCCTGCAGCATTGTTTCCCCTGTCAGCTCTCTATTGCTTATTAGTGACTTCGAGCAACTTGTTATTTCCTTTGGTCCTGCCTCTTTCTCTATGAACTGAGAAACTGCACAAAATCTATGTTGGTTAATCAAACCATTTAAGATAAGATGATTTTTCTTTTGACTATTTTTTAGAGACCTGAACAGATACACTTGTGGGCTTCTGAGTCGTTTTGCCAGCTCTTATCAACCCTGACACCCGTGGTGTGTGTTTACACAAGCCTCTCTGATAGCCCACAGTCCTCCAGCCACACGCTACTCATCCCCTAGCCTGGTCTAGGATTTGTTTTGCTTTCTTTCTTTCATTGGACTCTTCCCAAGCTGAGCTGGCTCTCGGCCCAGTCAGACTGATGTTATGAAGCCAGTTGCAGCCAAGGAAAATGAAATCCCATTTCACATGAATCCCAGAGCTTTAGTCAGACAAGGGGTTTCCCCAGGTCTATGTGGCTCAGCGCTGGCTCTTCTGGCCACTCCTATCAATGTGCCTGAAGCAGGGAAAGTCCAGTTTTCTAGGCATCTGGCTCCCAGGAAAGCCAGAAGCAAAGGTTTTAGTTTTTTTTTTGCCCCAAGGGTTTTAGTTTCCCCATATGTAAATTGGAGTATGCTTCTTGATTGGATCCCTTTCTCTTTCCTTACATCTGAGACAGCAAGCTGCTGGCTCCCACCCTCTGCTTCCAGAGGGTCCTGTTGGACAGGCACTCCAGTAGCCATTACCCCTGTTTCTAAAGCCGGCTCCTCAACCACATTCAAGCTCGAGGTTTGCAGCCTAGCCCGGGCAGCTCTTCTCACCTTCACCACACAGGCTCTGAGCGCGCACTTGCTTTCTGCAGCTGAAGACCACATGCGGTGTGTTTGCTGATGAGCGTGTGTGTTTGGGTCAGAGAGGAGCCCCCATGAGGGTCAGGGGAGCGAGGCCAGGGTGGTGGGAGCATGTGTTCTTCCAAAATTGCTCATCAACAGATAACTTTCGGCCTCCTCTGCCATGAGAAGAGTGCATTTTCATTGTTTTCTTCTGCACGTCGCTTCGAGGATTCCCTTTTTTTGTTTCATACCTCTGGTGAAATTTTTTATTCTAACTCTTTAGGAATGCTTACTGCCAGAGTGTGGGCCCCTTGGTTCTGCTGCCCCTCCCCTCCAGAAGGAAGTCCGATTGGAGCAAGGCAGATTTGAATTTGAAATCAGATAGCCCTTGCTGTCTCTGTGCCATTTGTTAAATCTACTATTTGGTTTCTCTTATGGAACCTGGGCTATGAACGGGTACCCAGTTCTAGGAGACCCAGGAGGACCAATGGAGGCAATCAGGCAGTGACCATTGCTGGCTCTCAGAAGATATATACTTAAAATCCAGTTCCCAAACTTCCACGCTCCAGCACTTCTTTCCTTCTGTTCTCCTCCCCAGGAAAGAGTTTGTGTCAGCTGAGACTTTGGAGGCAGAAAGTGATGCCCCATCAACTCCAAGTGTCAGGCTAGACCCTTGAGTAAACTCCAGGTCTCAGGCTGGATCCGTGAGAGATTATTCTATCTAAGAAGACATCAGTCCTAAATACTCTGCCTACCATGCTTCTTCTCCCTTCCTGGCTGCCCCGCCCCCACAGGCTGCCCCACCCCCATAGGCTGCCCTACCCCACAGGCTGATTTTGACAGAGGGGCTTATAAAGACAGTGACAAAAGTCCCCAGATTCTGTCCCTTTTTTGATCTGGCCCAGGAAAGTCCCTGGTTCCCTATGACTTTCTTCCCATCTCATACATGGGCGTCTCCAATTCCAGGTTATTCTATGCTGCCTCCTCTTCCTCCATTGCCCACCCCATCAGCACCAAAGCCTCAGAGTCTTCTCCCCTCAGAACCTCCCTAGGTCTGTAGTATTAGGGATGCTCGAGTGGGTAGGGAAGTCCCCTTGGGGAATTTTGTTAAGTTGGAGTTTGGAAATTCTACACCTTAGTCATGCTTCCTAACGTGTGCTTTGGATGTGGAGTGAGCAAGGGACCCGGATGTGGGAGGCCTAGAGTCTAGTCCCAACCGTGTGCTAGACCTAGCTGTGAGAAGCTGTGAGATTTGGCAAGGCTTTTGTGAATCTTGGTTTCTTCAGCAGAGAAACAGAGGGGTAACAGTATCGTCTTGAGGCCCTCTCCTCATTTAAAAAATAAAATAGTAGGTGATTTCTCGTGCACTGGAGAGAGAACTGGATGCCCATTTCCCTGAAAGTCAGCATATAGTACTCCTCCTGTGGGTAAGGCTGGAAGGTTTTTTTTTTAATCCCTTCATTTTCCGGATCCTGGAGACTCACGGTACCACCCAGCTCACGTAGTTCCTTCCGTAGGCAGTTCTGTGGTCCTCCATTTACTCTCCGTACCACCCTGTCACTCACCCACTCCAGCCTCCACCCGTCCAACCTTTCGTCTATGCAGTGGAGACATCATGCCTTGTTCACAGGATAAAGCAGCATTTGCTGACTCAGTCAAGAAGGTGATGTGTTGGGGGTGATGTGGAGCGGCTGATGGAAAGGTCAGAGCATAGGAGATGTGGCGTGGAAGAGTGGCAGGTGGCAGAGTGTTGTCTCTCAACTGGATCCACGCTGTTCTTGTAGCACTGAGGATTTCCAGTTCTAGGAGAGGAAGTACTAGCTTTGTGATTGGCTTGCTGGGAGGAGGCACCTGCTCTGTAGGACCATTAAGAACAAATGCCGTGGGGAGGAGGGGTGATGCCATGCAGGAGTATCAGGGTGTCACCGAGACTGAAGCATGTTTGCCATGTAGAAAAACTAAACAGATAAACGGACCGATCCCCTGCTCGCTGTCTCCATTCACTCTCCTTCTTCTGTGTTCTTAGCCAAAAACTGCACCTTTACGGAGTGCCCATCGTGCTCCAAAAAATGAGCTAAGCACTTAGATATGGTATGTTTACTTTCTGTTTCTGTGATAAACACCACAACCAAAGCGACTTGGGGAGAAGATGGTTTATTTCATCTTACAGTTTACAGACCATTGCGAAAGCGGTTCAGGGCAGGAACTCAGGGCAAGAACCAAAACCCAGACGGCAGAGGAGTGTTGCTTACTGGCCTGCTCTCTCCAGCTCAGGACTACTAGTCTGAGGGTGACATACCACCCCTAGGCCTCCAGTGAGGAAGATCTAAAATCTCCTCATAAGGGAGTCATCAATAGTTACAACAGAGATGAGGACACAGGGATCTATACACTGGTATCTGTGTACTTGGAAGGCGTGCCGGAAAGCCCACTGCTAGAGACAGACCCACTTCCTTCTAGGTATGGGACATTAAGAGATGAACATGTCAGAGCCCCAGAAGGTTGCTTATCATGGGGAAGCCCAGAAAGCAGCTGGGTTTCAGTACACGGGGGACAAGGTGTACCTCACTTCCCACATCCGTGGAATGGGAAGCATGAACATAAGAATCGTTTCCTTGGCTGCCTTCAAACACTGCTGTGGAGGTGAAGTGAGTTGATGGCTGTGGAGTCACTTTCCAAGTGGCAAAAGGGGAAACTGAGTCCCATAGTTCCATGCATCCCAGAGTGGCTCCTGTGTTGCTGGTGATTTCTATACTGCCCACCACCCACTGGTGACACTGGAGAGGGTTTGTAAAGTGGTTTTGATCCTTTGGTAGGAGGCAGAGAGCAGTCAGTA